TTTGAAAGGCTAAGGAAATACCACATGAGGTTGAATCCATCCAAGTGTGCTTTTGGAGTCACCTCAGGCAAGGTTTTAGGATATGTCATAAGCTAAAGAGGAATAGAGATGGACCCAACAAAGATCAAGGCAATCATGTCAATGCTACCGCCCAAAACCGAGAAACAAATTCGAGGATTTATTGGCCAGTTGCAATATATAAGTAGGTTCATATCAAAATTAACAATCATATGTGAACAAATATTCAAGAAGCTTAAAAAGAATGTACTAGTAATGTAGGACGATGAATGTCAAAAAGCCTTTGAAAAGATCAAAGCATATCTCGCAAATCCTCCCATATTAGCACCAGCACTTCCAGGAATACCTCTTAGGTTGTACTTGATAGTCACCAAGGAGACCATGAGAGTCATGCTTGCACAAGAAGTAGAAGGTAAAGAAAATGCAATCTACTATCTAAGCAAAAAGATGCTCGAGTATGAAGTATGCTATACACCGCTTGAGAAATTGTGCCTCGCATTGGTGTGGGCCACAACCAAGTTTAGACATTACATGCTCGTGCATACAGTCTTTGTAGTTTTGCGAATGGATCCAATTAAGTATTTATTCGAGAAGTCTACACTCAATGGGCGCATATCAAGATTGATAGTCAACTTATCCCAGTTCGATGTAACATTCATGCCTCAAAAAGCTATCAAAGGATCTGTGGTCTCGGATTTCCTAGCGGATTTTCAAATAGAGGATTCAACGCCATTACACGACAATGAATTTCTAGACGAAGACTTGATGGTCACAGAAGATGATACTTGGACTTTATACTTTTATGGAGCCTCAAATCAAAAGGGAAGTGGTGTTGGGATATTATAAGTATCACCTAAAGAAGAGCATGTTCCAATCTCCATAAATCTAGATTTCGACGTTACCAACAACGCTGCTGAATACGAAGCATGCGTGGTAGGCCTTGAAACAGCTTTGGCATTGGGAGTGAAGTAATTATGAATATTCGGAGACTCTTCAATGATCATCAACCAGATTTCTAAAAGATTTAAAGTAAGGAGTGAAAGTCTAGCCCCTTACCAAACTTATCTAGAAAATCTCACCAATCAATTAGAAAAGGTATAATACACATATCTACCTATAGTGGAAAATCAATTTGCTGATATCTTGGCAAGACTGGCCTTAATGGTTAGGATCCTACGGAAATCGAGCAAATGCCTCTAACTATAGAAAAAAAAGGCACAAGCCGGATTATATTCAAGCTATAGATGATGATGAAGTGATCCAAGATGAAGAAGAAGAAGAAGAACCGTGGTACACAAATATACTTAACTATGTCAACAAAAGAGAATACCCTCCTCATGACGACAAAAGAGCAAAATGAGCATTAAGACTCTTAGCTTCCCAATACGTACTCATAGACAACGAGTTGCATAAAAGGGTACCTTAGGGTCGAGCTCTCTTATGTTTAGGGAAAAAGGATGCTCAAAGATCTATGAGGATAGTCCACGAAAGCATTTGTGGAACCCTTGTTAATGGCAAAATGCTAGTCCAAAAGATAATGCGAGAAGGATACTATTGGACTACCATGAATAGGGATTGTCATCAATATGTGAAAAGATGCCCTAAATGCCAAATATACGCCGATTTACAACATGTTCCTCCATCTCTACTTCACACCTACATTTCACCATGGCCATTCTCTACATGGGGAATTGATATTATTGGAAAAATTACTCCTCCAGGAACAAGAGGTCAAGAATACATCCTAGTAGCAATTGATTACTTCACAAAGTGTGTTGAAGCACAATCATATGCTAAACTCACTGCAAAACGTGTAACACTCTTTATCAAAAGAAATATCATTTGTCGATATGGAGTCTCACATGAAATGATAAGTGACAATGGAAATCACTTTCAAGCTGAGTGTGAAGAATTGATACAAAAATATGGCATTCAACACCATCATTCTTCTCCCTATAGACCTCAAGAAAATGGATCATTTGAATCAGCTAATAAAAATCTTAAGACAATCATCGAGAAAATGACAGAAAATTACAAGGATTGGCCTCACAAACTCCATTTTGCACTTTGGGGTTATCGCACGTCAATTCGCACATTAATAAGAAATATGCCATTCTCCTTGGTTTATGGAATGGATGTCGTACAACCTGTAGTGCTAGGGATACCATCTCTACTTATTGCACAAGAAAGTAAACTCGATGAAGTTGAATGGACTAGAGCAAGATATGAAGAACTAATTCTACTTGATGAAAAGCAACTAGAAGCTCTACATTATACTCAATGCTATCAAACTCGTATGGCTAGGCCTTTTAATAAAAAGGTCAAGACAAAAAACATCAAAGTAGGAGACTTGGTGTTAAAAGAATGAAGGAAAAATGTTTTGGATCTAAGAGGCAAATTTAGGCCTAATTGGTTCGGACCCTATATTGTCAAAACAATCCTATCAGGAGGTGCAGCAAAATTAACTGATATGGATGGCAATGAATTCTCAAACATGACAAATCTTGACCAACTTAAAAAGTAATACCCATAATTACTTGAGTAGGGTACTCAAGAGAGCTACGTTTGGCCTGATTCCTTAGGAAAGGATACGTAGGCAACCCTTTACGGGTGCAGCCACTTTAATTCTCGCAAACCTTGCATCCCATATATAAAAAGAAATTCGACAGAAATTCGATGAAACATCGGCGTCACAGAATAAAGCCTGTCACCGGCCGATGTACTGCAGCGCCAGGCAACAACGTCTGTCGCCGGACGCTAGACGACATCAGCCGGTGCCAGCCATACAGTAGCGTCGCCGCTCTTTTGAAAGTACCTGGGCATATTTCGGTGTTTTTCGAAAAATTTTCGACTTCCGTACTCGAAAAAATTTCTGGAAAATAAATATCATTAATAAAATAAACTAAAAATTACATTATTGTTGGAATTTAAATAAAGCTTAATAAAACAAATTAACTTTAAATTTAAAATTAAGTCTAATAAATTGAAAGTTAAGCAATGCTTCAATCTTTCTTCTCTTTCTTTGCTTTCTCCCAATTTGTATCTGCATCCTCTTCATCGTCCATGCTCTAGCTAGTAGGCATCATTTAGAGGATCTACATTCAATTTTGGAGTAAATAGTTTCTCCTTTAGCTAGGACTCCATGTTTCTTCTCTACCGAAACCTTCTTCTATGAATTGTCAGCTTTTCTTTTCCTTTTATCCTTTGTAGAGCTCTTCTTCTTAGGCATCATAAGTGTTTTGAATTCAATCTTTTCACCCAAGGGTTCCTTAACAGGAATTACCTTGTAACCTAGACGACTCTTCACATCAGTTTTACTCTTATTTTTCCTCATGTCCTTTGAAGGTTTCTTGAGAATCCACCTCTTTACATCATTGGGCAAGGAAGGAGGAACTTTTTGGGTAATCACTTCCCATAAAGGTCTAGCGCTCCAAAATGCATCAAATTTTTCTATTTCTTGTGAAACAGGGAACTCATAGGGACGACGAAGATCCCCAGGATGAATTATTTAAAGTAGCTCGTACTATCTTTTTACTCTACAAGGATAATAAAAAGTCATCTTGGTTAAGCTTGGAAGACGACAGAAAGGTTGCTGGTTGACACTAACCATCTTCTCTATTTTCCACCAAGGGATGACACACTTGATAGCAAAGTTGCAGGATGCAAAGACTTTTTTCCATTCATGGCGCACCATCTTAGAAAAGCGTTTCTGTCGCCTCACAAAGCAATTTGGAGTGTATTTTTCAACATTGTCGGGAGGACTTATTAATTCTAGTCTCTCCATTAGCCACATCTGCAAAATTTCAATGCAAATAAATTAATATTACTACACAAAAATATATTTTTCATTTCTGTAATTAAAAATATTATTTTTCTACCTGTAATAAAATTGGAGAGCCCCGAAAAGGTGCTTTTGGATTTCTCTTCAATTCATCAAGACTAAGCATAATCTCTCCAACAATTAATGGCATTGGATTTCTTCCAGAATCGATTTGCTCCAAAACAGTTGATATGATTGGTTGGCCCTCATTAGTTCTACCACTAGTGAGAAGATATTGGTTAAGCATGCAAAAGAGAAAAGCCCTTCTTCTATAAACAAGAAATGATTCAGAATAAGGTCTATTAAAGTAATGGCGTGCAAATTTTTTTAAATTAACTATGCTGCCATCTACAATATTTTTTATATCTTTGTCTCTTAAATTAAAGAAGCGCTCAATTCCTCCGGTAAAGGGCTAATTTCATCACACCCTAGTCTAAAACAATGATTATTTGTATCCCAATATTCTAAGGCGGTATGAATGAAGTCTATATCAAGATCTACCCTTAACACCATAGATACCTCCCATATGGAAAAGGTCTAGTTCTTTTCTCTCTTTGGCAGTTAAAGACCGACACAGTTCACGTGTGAAGTTGATAAAACTCTTAGTAACTAAAGACATGATTTTTTTTTTTTCAAAAGCTAAGACTATGATTAATTTGCTGAAATTATGAAGAAATTCGGCAGATCAGGGGGCTATTAATACACAACGTCAATACAATTTTAATCCGAAAAGGATTCGGATTTAGCGCTCTTCAATGCCAAACGACGACTCTGTCGTTTGGCGCTAGAGTCTGGCGCCAATCGCAAGCAACAGCGCCTGACGCCAATGCAAAACGCGTGGAGCCACTTGGCGCTGATGTGTCTTGTCAGCGAGCTATTCAAAACCGCATTTTTCTGGCTATGATTCGAACCTGTACAATGGCTTTACGATCTTATCCCTTCTACAAATACCCTTATAAATTAATGTCATAAATTAATTTCGATTTTCCTTTTTTGGATTTTTATTCAGACTTAATTTATTTTTAAGTTTGTTGTAAGTCCAAATTTATTTTTAATTTTTTCTTTTGGGGGAGAATGTCGGATACCCTCCAATAATAAAAATTGACAAAATTTTTGCGCAAAATTATTTTTATCACAATTTTTGCACACACAAATATGCACATAAAAATGAAAAATAAATGCAAGATAAATAAAGTCATAATAAATATGTATATACAAATATGTCTAATTAATAATTCTATTATGCAATGTTCTATACAAGTCAAAATATAAAAAACACAGGTACAAACTACGGCGCTGGAGGACGCAGATGATGAGGGACGCCCATCAAAGGATTGCGCAGTACGAGGAGTATGCTCTCCACCAGATCTAGTCTCTCCAGAAGGAGTAAAACTCAGCACAGGACCCGTCCACCCAAGGTTCCCCTAATGAATTGATAGAGGCTGAGGCTGTTGAGGCTCCTGCGATGACGAGCCGGCCTCGTATATCCAACCACCTCTAGGAGCCGAGGTAGCCTCTCCCTGGCCTATCGGCTCAGCACGTGCACCCTCAGATAAAGACCTCGAGCCCTCCACCACCTTGGTCTGGGTAGCCTCACATCGTCCACCCCGACCGCCAGTTTTAGTACGGCGACGCCTCGAGCTAGACCTTGCCGGCTCTGTTCGGACCTCAGGTCTCGTCCTAGTACAGGAAGGAATGGGCTGACCCTGCAAGAAGAAACCAAGTCAGAAGCAATCAAAATAGAAACAACAATACAGAAATAAAAAGAAAAGGCTACCTCCTGAACAGCGTCGTCGCGACAACACGTAGCCACGTTCCTCATCCGAACGAGCTGGCTACGCAAGGCATCTAGACACCTCGCCATCGCCGTGACCACCTCGCGCGAGAACTGTTAAACAAATAAAGTCAATAACAATGCATGACAAATATGAACAAATTTCAAGTAAATAAACTCACCCGAGTCTGGTGGCGTTGAATCGATCGCTCCACAAAGCGCTGATCCTCGGGAGCCGGAGGAATCATCTCCTCGATAGGCCCGTATGTCGCCTGGTAATGGGTGGACATACAAGGGGGCACAAACTCAGTAGGCCCAGCTTGACAAAAACAAACCAGAGTTAGTAAAATATCACTTGGGGGCTACTTAGCAAAAGGTAGAAGATGAAAATCATCCTCCGCCTCCTCAGACAGAACAGGAGCCGGAGCTAACAACGGTAGCAACTCCTCCTCATAGCACTACCCTAGGATTGCATGAGATCACCAAGGGGTACCAGCCCTCTCCGACCTGCAATGCCTAGGAAGAAAGGTGTCACCAAAGATAAAGGTACGCCAGTGTATTGCGCGGCTAACCCAAGGACAACCAAGTCGTTCCACGGCCGGTACTGCACATCAGGCTCCTGCAAAGAATGCCTATAAGATGATAATCTAACAAAAGTATTACAAAAGTGTTCAACTATGCAAAAAAATCATACCGAGAGGATCTGCTCCCGAACATGGGAGGTAGACGCCCGAACGTGGCGGCCTCCCCTGCAAGCGCTTGCGAGAAACCCGCGTGGCGACGATCTTGCCAGCGCGAGTGAAGGAAAGTACTCGTATAACCAAATCTACAAAAAACACAAAATATCAGCAAGTGCTGACCAAAAGCTTAGAGCTAACTTTATAAGAGATAAAGTATACCTGTACGACTCTCCAGAAGCTGGACAGAGCGACGTTCCCTGTGTAGGATTGATGTCGACACGAGTCTCGCAACACTCGAAAAAAAAAAACCATCGGCCAAGCTGGCCCTGTCGTCAGTCCCGATCTTGTGAAGATCACGGACTGTAGGAAGCTAGTAAAGCAGCACTCTACTACCCTTGTCAGACAGCAAGATAAGCGCAAAGATGCGCACCCGCTGCTCTCGGGTGGTCGCATCATCCTCAAAAGCTGCCGCCAAAGTCGACCGGCGAATACCCTTGGCGCTGAACTGTGATGACTCCACCTCAGCACGGGCCCGAACAGCGATCGGACCCAGTAGCTCATCAACCTCAGGAGAGTAGACGTTGATGTTGCTGTCGAACGACAGCGTAGTGGAACTGAACTCCAATCCCGTGAAGAGACTAAATTCAGTTGGGGTGACCATCAACATGAATTAAGGTTCTATAGTATCTAAGGTTCGCCTATCCGCATGATACTGTGTCCGCAAAAAAAGAGTACGTAGTACTAAAACAGAGCACAATTTCAATTTGAGCATAAACGGCATTTTTCAAGCATCCAAACAATTTCTTTCAATACTATGATAATTATTGTGACAAATTGGACAAGAATTGCTAGCAAAAAATCAAGAACAAGCCACATTGTCTTCCCGACCTTAAGAGGTCCAACAATGGTGATTTGTTTGTTTTTTCACCAAATTGAGTCAAACAATTCTCAAAACACTCCTAAGGCAATATACAAGCATAATCAAGCAATTTCATGGAATAAAATTTGGCAAACAAAGCGAATTAAGCAATTTAATGTTTGATTTTTTCAAAAATTCGTAAACAAGAATGCCAAACTCTTAAAAAACCGGAGTGAGTTTGAAGAAAACATACATAGATCGGGAAAGTAGATGAAAAAATCTTCGATTTGCAACAAATTTGAGCAAATTTTGTTGAGAATTGAGCAAGAACGAGCAAGGCGAACTTCCGTGGCGAATTTTCGAAGAAGAGCAACAGCGGCGGCGAAATGAGGAAGAAAGGGAATATATACAGAATTCCCGACTCTGGCGCTAAACGATAGCTTTGGCGTCCGACGCCAGAATTTAGCGCTTGGCGCTAGAGTTCAACGACAGAGCAAATTCGTGGCGCCAGCTCTGTTTCAGCGGCGATAGAACGCTCAGCCACTCAGAGCGGTTATTTTGACCTCTTACAACAATTTTGGGTTCCTTGGTACGCTAGTTAGCCCCTATAAGCAATTTTACATGATTTAGTAATCGGCTCGATTACAATCACATTAAGTGATCGGCCTGATAAATGATCATCTCAGTTAGCTTAAAGTGCCTAAGCATTGGCTCATCGGAGGCACCAATGTAATGGTTCATAAACAGCAAAGGCACCGACATGATGATTCACAAGAAGAAAAAGCGCTGACGTACTGGCATAGTTGAAGCAAAGTTCAAGCGAGCTTTTAAGGATCGACAAGCGTTGATCTTCGGTAATTTTCTTTAGAATATTCTCACAACCACTGGAGATGACTTCAAGCGAAGATATCTTCAACAACATTCCCTAGCTTTCGGAGGGTTGTCATAGACAACTGGAGTTGATTTCAAGCGAAGTTATCTTCGATCATGTTCCCTAGCTTGCAGAAGATGGTCACAAAGTGCTAGAAGGTTGTTTTAGGCAAAGCAATATTCGATGGGGTTCTCTAGCTTGTAGAAGTCTATCACGGCGGAATAGGAAGCAGTTACAAGCGTATCAGTCTTCAGGCGGTATTCTCTAGCTTGTAGAAGATCGTAAAAAAAACAGCAGGATGGCATTCCCTAACTTGTGGAAGGTTTTCACAACAGCAATGCAACAACAAATCGATTACTTCCAAAGACGTGTGCTCGACGGTGCAAGATACGCATTTATGAACTCTTTTATCTATTTAACTAACGCTAGTTTTGCAGGTATTGGGGTTACAAGAATGATTTAGGATCGCAGAACGTTCTGAATCATTCTCTGTCCCTATCAATTCTTTGACTTTAGTTTTCAAAACTTGTGTTTCTCCAAACTCAGTCAAAGTGGGGGCTTCTATAGACACCCATTTGTGTCTCCCCAAAACCAAACCCCGTGATGAGTACCTTTCACGTCAATTCATAATCGAATGAAGTGAAAGTGTGGAAAATCTAGTGTTGCGGTTAGTTTTTATTTCTTTTCTTTCTCTCTGTTTTTGAAAACCTATTTTAAGAAAACGATCAATCCAGTTTGGTTTGGTCCATGATAATGGTCCAATAATGGTGTAGTTAGGTCAGGTTCAAAAAGAGCTTTCCAACGACATGTTATAAGCCCAATTTTGATGAATAATGAGGAATTTATGACAAATTACTAAACTGGGTCCGGCTTGATATTTGTATGTGGCCCAATGATCTAGAGGAAGGCCTATTATTGATTTATCATTCCTAATGCAATTAGGATTGATTATAGTCTTTTAGATTCTTCTAGAAGGTTCTTTTCATTCCTAATTTAATTACCATTGATTAATTGACTTTAGTTGACTTTTAAGAGTTTTAATCAGAATAAAAGAAGTGTTTTTAAGGAAAATACAATTTTTCCCTCTCGTACGGCTAAATTTTATCAAATTAAGAAAACACGTGGAAATTTATTTACATCGCCTGACGACATGACTAGCGCCTGGCGTCATACCTGGCGTCTGGCGCTAGACTTGGCGTTTGGCGCTAGTGTCCAGCGTTTGGCGCCATGCGCGCGTTTGAAGCTGCGATCGTGTTTTATTCTTTTCGAAACTCTGATTCATTTTTTATCACATCCGACTGATTTTCTCTATAAAAAGCCTCCTAAAACCTCCGTTTTCCATCACCAACTCTCATCAAGAATTCTTAATTACTCTCTCTCTCTTTCTTAAACTCGCTTTTCTCAAACAAACTTCCACATTCACAAGATCTAGACACATCTAGCCAAGTTCAAAGTTGCCTTCGCCTGGACGTGAAAGGTTTTAATTTCTGAGGGTTTGGTCCCAAATCTCTATTTCAATTATTTAATTTCATTGTCTGATTTTATTATTTTAATTGAAGTTACTAACGTGTGTATTTTGTTATTAGAAAAAGATACGAGGCATCCAAGTAAGTGCTTTAATCGATTTATTGTTATTATGATATAGAAATCATGCTTAGATTTTTATTTTGATTCCTAGTGTCATGTTAGGATGTTATTATTGCTTCCTAGTATCATGTTTAGGGTAACAACTATAATTTCTAATATCAAATATGACAATTGTGATTCCTGCGATGCTTCTATTCTCTTCCTAATATTCATGTTAGTATCATGTTTAGGTTAAAACTTTAATCTTTATTAATTAGTGACATGCTAGAGTTTGTCATTAATCTTGTTTGTATCATGTCTAGGATCTTGCTATTATTATGCTTTAACATGATTATGGTTGTGATTATTATTATTATAATTATTATGTTTATTATTATTATGTTTCTTGATGATATTTATTGTTATTGCTTGATCACGCCTTTTATGCATGTTTAAAGGGAATTTGTACTCGTAATCACGCTTAATAAGATATTAAATAATCTTGTTTAGGGTTAATTTGATTATAGTTCAAGTGATCGCCAATAATTGTTTTATTTGTGCATTAATATTCAACCAACATAGATAAACAGGTTTAGGGTAAACCTATTGATTGCATGTTAGTCAGAAAGCGCACATAAATACGATTAGAATAAAGTAGAGGCCTATTATTAGGGCAGGTTCAATCTCTTTTAGGTTGGATTTGTACCTTCATCCCTGAACTATTAGTCATGGTTCCAGACCTATTTAAGTTGACGATCTCCTGGATCGTTAAGGGGTATAACCTTCACCCTGTGAACGGTTTACAAGTTCCTAAAACTTGTTGGTGACTTTTTTGCTCTATCTTCCTTCCCTTTGGACACCATCATGCTTAAGTGTATGATCACAGTGGGGTTCAAGTTTGGGGTAATGCTTGAAATATTCCCTACAGACATCCTCAACTTTTCCCTTTGGAAACTTAATAGATCTATCGGCCAATTTCAAGGTCTTGTTGGTTGGAAGAAGCTCACCTAGCTTAAGCTTCCTAAGGGCTGGATAAGGCATAATGCTCACACTAGCACCAAGATCACACAGGGCATTTTGAAAAAAATTTCCACTGATTATGCGAGGGATAGAGAAATTACCCAGATCATTCATTTTCTTGGGTAAGTCATTGTGAATCCAAGCGCTACAACATTCCCCAACCTTTACCGAATAAATCTCATTGCACTCTCTCTTGCCACTCAAGATTTCCTTAAGGAACATAGAATACCTTTATATTTGGGTCATGGCTTCGGTAGAAGGGATTCAAAGATGAACTTCCCTAAGCATGTCAAGAAATATCCCAAATTGTTCAACGATTTTGTTTCTCAAAAACTTTTCAGGATATGGAAGTTTAGGTTTGATCACCTCCTCTTGCACTTTTTCATCACTCTTCTCTTCCTCTTGGGCTTCTTTGCTCATCTTCTTTGACACATCAAGCTCTTTTTCCTCACTCGAATCACTCAGCTTCTTACTTCCTCACTCTTCCTAGAAACTCTCTCTCACTTCTACAAAATTGGCCAAAGAGACCATATCAAAATGGCCAAAGAGACTACCTTAGGGGTGGTCTCTAGCTCACAGGTCTCTTGGCCTAAGAGACCACATCATCAGAAGTGGTCTCGTGTTTTAAAAACTAAGACCACTTGTTTAAAATAGATGGTCTCTATTTTTTAAAATTTGAGATCAATTATTTAAAATAGGTGGTCTTAGTTTTAGGAAAAATAAGACCACCTATTTCAAATAAATGGTCTTAGTTTTTCAAAAATTGAGACCACCTATTTCAAATAAATGGTCTCTTTCTACTTTTTTTGAAAAGAAAAAATAATTTTTTTGTATTTCATTATATATTCCGCTTATGATTTCAATCAAACAAAAGTACAATTCATTAATACGAAAATTATACACGTGGTTTATACAAAACCAATCCTAAAAACTCATTAATACAATTCCTTAATACAAAGTATTTGAGTACAATCAATAGTTTATCCAAATTTATACAAAACTCATACTTATAAAAACTCAATAGTGCTATAATCAAGGCCTTTTAGTATCTTGTGCAGCAACCTCATGCAAACCAAATAATTCAACAAGCAAATTATTTAATTTTCACTTTTTATCCTGAAAATTTTTCTAAGAGATTGAAAATTATCACACATTTATTAAAAAAAAAAGTCATACAAACTTATAAGTAAGATTACACTAACCCAAAAATAAAATCAAAATTGAACGCCTCATTGTATATAATGAAAAATTCTATTTTATGAACAGTATAACATAGAACTAACATATTTTGTCAAAAGCGTGAAATTAAAAATTCTATTTTATGAACAGTATAACATAGAACTAACATATTTTGTCAAAAGCGTGAAATTAAGAAAAACAAAAAACAAAAAACCCTTATTTGAACACTCCAGAAATTAAAACGGATCCAAAGTCAAACAACAATAAATTGAACTTACCAAAAACTAGCACCAAATTGACG